GAGATTATTAGACTTTTATTGTTTACACAGTTTTCAAATATTTTCCCATTTTGTTGGTTGTCTTTTAAAATTTTCATGAAGTCCAATATATCTGTTATTTCCATCTAGGATTTTTGTGCTTTTGTTGTCATAAAGCTAAGAAACCATTGCCTAATCCAAGGATACCACAATTTATGTTTCTTCCTAAGTATAGTTTTAGCTCTTATGTCATGTGTTGGGTGCATTTTGAGTTAACTTTGTGCATGATACAAGGTAAGGGTCATCTCTATCGTTCTGCATGTGGATAATGAGGTGGTCCTGCATCTTTTTTTAAATTAGTCCTATTTTTAGTAATTTTAGGTCCTTTCTTTCATGATAACAGTACTATCGGATGTTCATTATCAGTACCAATTCCATTTTATGGATTCTGAAACCAAATCTCCAAAGCTAAGTATCACTTGCAGGGTTAGATAGCTGAAGCTCCAGGTTTCACTAACTTCGAGGCCCTCCCTGACACACTGGGTTGCCCTCCCTATGCCTCTGTGCAGTGCACCAGCTCTTGGTCAAGCAGGAAGACTGCTTAGAAATGAAGCAAGGGGTTGCCTAGGACTAAAGAGCCTTGGGGAGCTAACACCACGTGTTCCAAACAAAAAAGGTGGACCCTGCAGGGGGCTGAACTCTTGCACCAGTTTCTCCTCTGATCCAGTAATGCTCACGCTTCTAGCCTTCTTGGCAGAGGATTTTAGGTTGAAGTTTTGTTACCGGGGATAGACTGGTGCTGCCCTTTTGAACTTCCTGTGGTGCTAACAATGTTTTGTTATCTGTGTTGTGCAGTTATGGTAGCCACTTGCCAGTGTGGCGATTGAAACCAAGGAACTAAATCACTTTTATTGTGGTAAAATATACACAATAGAGAATTTCTCATTGTTAAACACCCCTGCTGTCTTTTTTGAGACAGGGTATTGCTAGGTAGCCCAGGTGTCTGACCTTGGACTTGCTATAATCATCCTGCTTCACCTCCTTAGTGCTGGGATTATGGGCATGTACCACCACACCCGGCTTTCAATGAAATCCTTTCTGAGTGCGCAAATTGGTGGCAGTAAATGTATTCATGTTGGTGTACATTCATCACCTGCATCCACCTCTGGAACCTTTTCATATTCCCGGAACAGAAACACTTTATCCATTAAACAGTAACTCCTCATTCCCCCCTCCTTCCAGGTCCTGTAAACTGTGATTGTATCTTTTATGTCTGTGAATTTGATTACATATAAGAGGATCTGTATTTTATTTTTGTTATACTGAGGATTGAGCACAGGTTTGTTTTTTTTTTTTTTTTTGTGGAACTGGGGATTGAACTCAGGCCCTTGTGCTTGCCAGGGAAGCGCTTATTCCACTGAGCCATCTCCCCAACCCTGAGCACAGAGTTTTATGCATGCTAGGTAAACATATTTACATCTGAGCTATATTCCCAGGCCCTTGTAAATTTTTGACGCAGGGTCTCTAAATTGCATAGGCTGGTCTTCAATGTAAGATCCTCCTGTCTCAGCCTCTTGAACAAGTGGATTACAGGCATGTACCACTGTACCTACCTCTGAATTTCTAGTTTGAACCCATTCAGTGTAATTTAAATAACTGTGTATGGTTAGTTGCTGCCTTTCTGGGTGATACAGGCTGAAAGCCAGGACAGGACTAGAGCAGGTTTGTTCCTCACAGAATTTCTTTTAATTTTATTTTTATGTATTTGGTAGAGGATCTTACTACGCAGCTTGTAGTAATCCTCCTGTTTTCAGCCTCCCCAGCACTGGTATTGCAGGCATGTGCCACAAGGCTCCATCTCTGTGATGGGCTCAGTGAGCCCGAAGGCGGGGCTGGTGGGTCATGTGCCAGGGATCGAACCCTGGTCCCTGTGCTTGCCTAAGCAGGTGCTTAGTCTGCTGAGCTATCTCGCTGGTCCTCCTCACAGAATTTATATCTACTTTCTGATACAGTTTAAATCTGAATCATCTAGACCAGCCCCACTTTGTAGGCCTTTGTGGCCTGGTAGAGCACTGACCAGGAGAGGGAACTGAGAGAGCTGTAATTCAAATGCACAAGCGTTTCTGTAGCACATGGAGACTCTGACGCTGACGTAGAGAAAGACATTGCTCCAGAATGCTAAGCATTCTGCATTCTGCATTTTTCCATGGACGGTCCAGGAAATCTCTAGTCTTCGTATTCCAGAGTTCCTACTTGGGATGTGGATGTCCTCCCTGGGAGATGGCATAAGGTAGTGAAAAACATTTTTCAGTGTTTTGCACTTCCCAGAGCTGTCTCTTCTGAGCAGGAATTACTATTCCCTGTATTTGGAAGAGAAACATCATTTGTGAGTCATAAATCACATTCGAGGTGGAAGTGAAACTCCTCTAATTAACCACTGTGAAAACGACTCATCCTCGTTCTTGTTTTGTGGTTTCTCCAGTTCTGGACTTCAGCGATCCCTTCAGCTCTGAGGTGAAGCCGAGAATCCTGCTCATGGGCCTGAGGCGAAGCGGCAAGTCATCTATTCAGAAAGTTGTCTTTCACAAAATGTCTCCCAACGAAACACTGTTCCTGGAGAGTACTAACAAGATATGCCGGGAAGATGTTTCCAACAGCTCCTTTGTCAATTTTCAGATTTGGGACTTCCCAGGACAGATCGACTTTTTTGACCCCACATTTGACTATGAGATGATCTTCCGGGGAACAGGAGCACTGATATTTGTCATCGACTCCCAGGTACAGCTCATGTTTTGAGGGTTTGATGATCCTGTAGCCCCAGCAGAGGCAGGACCTCACCCTATCGCTATGGTTTCTGTTGGGTTTTTTAAATGTAGCACAGGGCTTTTTTTTGTGGCTGGCTCAGTGTACCTGGGGGCGGAGTGGCATGGCAAGTGGTGCCACGGTTCGAACTGCAGTCCCTGACGCTTGCCTAAGCAGGCGCTTTAGACCGCCGAGCTATCTCGCCAGCCCTAGCACAGGCCTTTTAACCAAACGGGTTTCTTCAGCCCCTCAGTCATAGCAAAGGAGAAAGCCTTATTCCATCCACCCCGACCAAGAGCCGTGTGACCGTTATGGAGCTCTGTACACCTCCACAGATCGCACACCTGGGGACCTTCACAGCTGGGGACTGTCCGGGCCGAGCACAGCAGATACATGTCTTCCCCCTCTGGCCTCTGGCACGCTTGCCCGACATCTCCAACAGTGCCCGGCCAGGCATGGTGGTGTGCACCTGTAATACTAGCACCTCCAAGTCGGACGCAGAAGTGTTGCTGTGAGCTCACGAGGAGCCTGAACTAAATAGTGAGACCCTGTCTCGAAAACCAGAAAAAAAATTCCTGTAGCTTAGACAGATAAATTTCTCAACACTTACACTGGTTCTCTGGAAAAAAAAAAGTTAACATTTAAAAATGTTTACTTGGAGGGGCTGGAGAGATGACTCAGTGGTCTAAAGTACCTACTTGGAACAAGCTCAGCAAAGCACAGGGACCGCAGTTCGATCCCCCAGCACCACATGCCAGCCAGCCTCGCCCCCTGGTGGGCTGGGCTGGCCACACATACACACACACACACACACAAATAAATAAATGTTAAAAAAAATGGATGTTGTTAAAAAAAATGTTTAAAAATGTTTACTTGGAGCCAGGAAGATGGCTCAGTAGGTTAAGTGCTTCCTTGGCAAGCACAAGGGCCCAAGTTCAATCCCTGGCTCCACAAAAATAAATAAATAAATAAATAAATAAAATAAAAATGTTTACTGTTTCCTGTGAAGATGAAAGGCTAAATGAAATTTTCTTTGCATCAAATAATTATTACTAATGTACAACTAAGATAACAAATATTTTTCTAAGAAAAAAAAAGGTGACTTTTTTTTTTTTGTGGAACCGAGGATTGAACTTAGGCCCTTGCCCTTACCAGGGAAGAGCTTATTCCACTGAGCCATTTCCCCGGTCCCCATAGGTGACTTTTAAAAAGCAAAATTGAGATAACTAGCTTTTAGGATGATAAATAGCAGAGTGTGGTGGAAAAACACCTATTCCTGCTACTCAGGAGGCTGAGCAGGGAAGATTGTGAGTTCAAGCCACGTGGGCAACTTAGGGAGCCTTCTGTTGAATGCAGGCAGGACGAGCTTCGAGTGGATAACATGAGCAAAGCCCTGGGTTCAATCTCCACTACTACAAAGAAAAAAAATTAAGATGGGTGGTTGATGTTTTTGTGCTTAGTTTATGTGTCTATGCTTGAATAAGACAGGATTGGGAGTAGTAGTTTTTATATTCTGGTTGTATAGATATAAGCACGGAGAAACTGTCTACAAGCAGCTTTTGTTGTAGCATTTGTTTTTTATACTTTTTTAAAAAAATTATTTATCTATTTGTGTGTGTGTGTGTGTGTGTGTGTGTGTGTGTGTGGCCAGCTCAGCCCACTAGGGGGCAGGGCTGGCTGGCATGTGGTGCTGGGGGACCGAACTGTGGTCCCTGTGCTTTGCCAAGCCTGCTCCAAGTAGGTGCTCTAGACCACTGAGCCATCTCACCAGTCCTTGTTGTAGCGTTTATCCAATAATTTAAAATCCTTCCATTACATTACCCACTTTTTTTTTTTTTTTTTGCGGAACGAGGGATTGAACTCGCCCTTGTGCTTGCCAGGGAAGCACTTACTCCACTGAGCAATCTCCCCAGCCCCTCATTACCCACTTTTCTACATGAAAAATTATTTTAGTAGTTTATCTGTAGACATCCTTGTAAGTCCTCCTGCAGCTTTGTTGGAAACAGAAATGGGACACCCGTGGCTGGTGAAGAGCCTTAGTCCCCAGCATTACTCATTGTCTTTCTTGGATTCACCTTAGCTTTGCACCAACTCTGTGACACCCAGGTTTTTTTACCCCGGGCCTTTCTGCTGTAATTGGGAAAGGGGAATTGGGGCAGCAGGATCACAGGTGCACCTCAGGCCGATCGGTTTTAGGGTGGGCACCTGTGGCCAGCTTGGGGCGCTGGTGCTCTGTGAACATTGCTGGTCAGTGGCCGGTGACTCGCCCCATACTGCAGGCTCCTCCAGGCTCTGCATTGTAGCTGTGTGTGTGTGTGGGTGGAGGGGGGAGTAAATGATACCAAGTCCTCCTGGTGTGTGCGAAACCTGCTCTGAAGTTCAGGGCTTGATAGTTCTCTGAAACTGCACCCGCAATTAGGTCAGCCAGCTGCTGCATGCACAACCCCTGTCTGAACACCAACCAGTCTCTTCTGGTGGGGGTAGGGAGGAGGGTTGTTGGGGTTGTTAGTAATCATGCTCCTGAGCCCCTACTGGGATAGTCATTGTCTGAGAAGACTGCGTGTTTATGAAGTTTTCAGCTTCAAGAGGCTGTGCCGGGGGCTGGTGAGATGGCTCAGTGGTCTAAAGCACCTACTTAGAACAAGCTCAGCAAAGCACAGGGACCGCGGTTCAATCCCCCAGCACCACATGCCAGCCAGCCCGCCCCCTGGTGGGCTGGGCTGGCCACACACACACACACACACACACACATAAATAAATAAAATTAAAAAAAAGAGGCTGTGCCGGGTAGCTGAGGAGCATGGTGTCAGTTAAAGTTCTTGCCACTTGTGGTGAGAATGCAGAGGAGGGACCCATTAGATCCAGGCCCTGATCGACGGACGGAATTTCTCACTTCTCTGGGCCCACCCGCAATGCGCGTGTTGGTCGTGCCGTGGACCCTACCGCTGCCCGGGGCACACTGCCCGCAGCGGCTTTCCTGGCTGTCCCTCTTGTGCCAACCTATTCCTGGCCCATCTGGGCCTTGGCAGTGGCCCCTGCCTTCCTGTCTCCATATGCCAGCACCATCAATCTGGGGAGCCTGGAGCCTTTGGGGGATGGAAAGGGCGCGCACATGCTCCAGGGAGGGGTTGCTCTGCAGATGGCAGCTCCTCTGAGCTCCGTTTCTGAGTCACTCCACACTGTGTCAGTGCTTATTTAGGTAGCAAATACAGTAGTTGTGCCTTCGAGTAAGTGGATTCCAACTGGATGACTTGTTGTTTCAAGCTAGTGGCTTAGTAGATGCTAAAATACTGTTGTGCTTGTGTAGCAGTTTATGTTTATAAAATTCAAACTTCCAATGTAAATCTACTTTCAATATTTATAATATGGCTGTAATTTGGCTAAAATAGGTACACTTGTCTATTTTTAGATTGCAACTGTAATTTGGCTTTAATTTCACCTAAGCATGAAAAAGGAGACCTTCTATCTGGGTTTGTACATGTGTTTCCTGTTTTAGTTTTGTTTCTTGTTTCTTTTTTTTTTTTTTAAACTGTAAGAGGAAGGTATGAGAATTGAGAAATATGTCTTTTTGTTACATTTTAGCAATGAGTGAGTCTGGGTATGTAGCTCAGCAGCACCAAGCACTTGTCTAAAATGCAGACGCCCTGGGTGCAGTCCCCAGCGCTACAAAATGAAATAGTATGAAAAAACATTGTTGAAAAAACACTGCCAGGGCCCGGGGAGATGGCTCAGTGGAATAAGCGCTTCCCTGGCAAGCTCAAGGGCCTGAGTTCAATCCCCGGTTCCGCCAAAAAGAAAAGTAAAAGAAAAACACTGTCATTTACTAAAAGTAAATAATAGTGTAAGCAGTTTCAGAGACATCTAATACTTTTCTGTGGAAAGCAGATGTAAAAATCACGTTTGCGGGAAGCTTTAAATGATGTGACTACGAGTACTAAGGAAAACTAGGGCTCAGGAGAGCACCTCAGTGGGGCGTGAGCGTCCTTGTCCTTTATTTCTAAGCAGTGCTTTTTGATCTGATGCCTCATGGATGTATATTTTGCCTGTGAATTCTTCACTATTACAGGACTGCCAGATAAGTGGGTCCCCAAGGAGAAAATGTGTCCTCACAGCATGTTGAGAAATAACAAAGAATGAAAGCATGTGTGAGTTCCTGGGACCTAACTGTGTGACACCCTCACTGCTCTGCACGGACCAAGGGACAAACCCCATTTCCTGAAAACACTGCATATGTGCCTCTGGGTGCCAGAGTCTCCACTGGACTTGTGTTCGCGATGATTGTGACCTGCTCACAATTGCTAGATCTAATTTCAGAGTAGAGAGTAGGGAGTATATTTTTCCTTTATTTTGTTTGTCACTGATGGCAGTAATGATCACTGTGGAAAGATCCCTCTGTTCTAATGAACCAAGTAGTTTTATCTTTTTGCAGTGCTGGACATTGAATCAGGGCCTCATGCATGCTAGGCAAGTGCTCTCCCACTGAGCTACATTCCCATTGTGCCATGTTCTTTTTTCTGATGTCACTTTTAGGTGCTGGGTGTGTGGACGTGCATGCCCTGGGGAATAAACCCAAGCTACATATCAAGAGCTTCTTTATTTTGAGCCAGGGTCTTGCTTGGTTTCCCAGACTGGACTCAAATTGGCCGTCCTCCAGTCTCAGTCTACCAGAACATGTGGGTTAATGCTGTGTGCCACCGTGCCTGGTTTTTATCGATTTTATTGATTTAGATTGGCGAATAGAATGTCCCAAAATATCCCGTTATATTGGCTTCCTTTGTTTTCCAGAATTGGAGTCATAATCACCTGGAGATACTGAGGGTGGTAGTAGTTAAGTCCTTTACGTTTCTTATAACAGATACATGTCCTCTTTTTGCTATAAAAGCAAGGGCTGTCTGCACTCTTTAAAGTAGCAGTAACTCAGAGATCTAGCCACCCCAGGTGCTGCTGGTGAGGGCCTGGAGCTTAGGCTCTGCCCAACACGGTCCGGTCACGTTTAAGGTGCTCATTGTCAGAACTGACAGGTGGGCTCAGGGTGAACTGTGTACCTGGGATACACATTACCACCTTATGGTGCGTGCTTGGAAACATTAGGGAGCCTCTTAGCAAGCAAGTACATGATGCGCTGTAGACCATCCATAAAAGGAAATGCCAGAATCATTAAAAGGGATTATTAGAGGTATGCACTTCAGCATTGGAAAATCTGCCTGACATAATGTTGAGCAAAAAAGGCATACATAGGGCTGAGGAGATGGCTCAGTAGAATAAGCACTTCCCTGGCAAGTGCAAGGGTCTGAGTTCAATCCCCGGGTCCACCAAAAAAAAAAAAAAAAAAAAAAATCCTGGCTATTTATGATAAATACTAGTCAGTTATCAGCTATTTATTTTTATATATATTTCTTCTAATTCTGTGGCTTACCTGTTCATTTTCTATTATTTTTATTTTTATTTATTTATTTTTTGCAGAACTGGGGTTTGAACTCAAGTCCTTGCGCTTGCCAGGGAAGCACTTATTCTACTGAGCCATCTCCCCAGTCCTCTATTTTCTTTCTTTTTTTTTTTTTTTCTATTTTTGTAATAGTGCTTTTTGATGAATAAATTTTAAAGTGCTGATGACATGTGATTTATTGGGGACCCCAGCAATGAGCCTCCCATCTCCTGGAGCAAGAGACAAAGTGGTAGCACAATGGCATCTGGCATGACCAGTTGTTCTTAGGAAGGATCTTGCCCTGGAGAGTCTGTTTTTTATGTATGTGGTACAAGGTCTCAATGCAGCTCAGACTCCTAGTGATCCTCCTGCTTTCAGCCTCCCCAGTGCTGGGATTACAGGTGTGCACCGCCGTGCCTGGCCTTGGTGGCTGGCTCATGGTACCTAGGGGCCAGAGCAGCATGTGGTGCTGGGGATCAAACCCCGGTCCCTGCGCTTGCCTAAGCAGGTGCTCAGTCTGCTAAGCTATCTTAATTTGTTTTGATTATGAACTAATATATA